CAATGATGCTATCTAACTATCTCATCCTCCGTCCCCCTCCTTCTCCTCTTGCCCTCAATCTTTCCCAGCATCAGGGTCTTTTCAAATGAGTCAGCTCTTTATAACAGGTGGTCAAAGTACTGGAGCTTCAGTTTCAGCATCAGTCCTTCCAATGAACACCCAGGACTGATTTCCTTTAGAATGGACTGGTTGGATCTCCTTGCAGTTCAAGGGACTCTCAAAAGTCTTCTCCAACACCACAGTTCAAAAGCATCAATTCTTTGGTGCTCAGCCTACTTTATGGTCCAATTCTCACATCTGTACATGAGTACTGGAAAAACTATAGCTTTGACTAGATGCACCTTTGTTGGCAAAGTGATGTCTCTGCTTTTTAATACACTGTTTAGGTTTGTCATAGCTTTTCTTCCAAGGAGCAAGCATCTTTTAATTTCATGGCTGCAGTCATGGTCCGCAGTGATTTTGGAGCCCAAGAAAAGAAAATCTGTCACTGTTTCAACTTTTTCCCTATTTGCCATGAAGTGATGAGACAGGATACTATGATCTTAGTTTTTTGAATGTTGTGTTTTAAGCCAGTGTTTTCACTCTCTTTCACCTTCATCAAGGGGCTCTTCAGTTCCTCTTCACTTCCTGCTTTTAGAGTGGTATCATCTGCATATCTGAGGTTGTTGATATTCCTCCTGGCAATCTTGATTCCAGCTTATGAGTCATCCAGTCTAGCATTTCACATGATGCACTCTGCATATAAGTTAAATAAATAGGGTGACAATATACAGTCTTGATGTACTCCCTTCCCAATTTGGAACCAGTCTGTTGTTCCATGTCTGGTTCTTAACTGTTGCTTCTTGACTTGCATATAGGTTTCTCAGGAGATAGGTAAGGTGGTCTGGTATTCCCATTTCCCATAGTTTGTTGTGATTCACACAGTCAAAGGCTTTAGTGTAGTCAATGAAGCAGATTTAAAAAAAAAAAATTCCTTTGCTTTTTCTATGATCAAACTGATTTTGGCAATTTGATCTCTGGTTCCTCTGCCTTTTCTAAATCCAGCTTGTACATCTGGCGTTTCTCCATTCACGTATTGCTGAAGCCTGGCTTGGAGAACTTTGAGCATTTCTTTGCTAGCGTGTGAGATGGGTGCAATTGGGTGGTAGTTTGAACATTCTTTGGCATTGCCCTTCTTTGGGATTGGAGTGAAAACTGACCTTTTCCAGTCCTGTGGCCACTACTGAGTTTCCCAAATTTGCTGGAATATGGAGTGCAGCACTTTCACAGCACCATCTTTTAGGATTTGAAATAGCTCAGCTGGAATTCCATCACCTCCACTAGCTTTGTTTGTAGTGATGCTTCCTAAGGCCCACTTGACTTCATACTTCAGGATGTCTGGCTCTAGGTGAGCGACTATCCCATTGTGGTTATCTGGGTCATTAAGACCTTTTTTGTACAGTTCTTCTGTGTATTCTTGCCATATCTTCATAATCTCTTCTGCTTCTGTTAGGTCCTTGCTGTTTCTGTCCTTTATTGTGCTCATCTTTGTATGAAATGTTCCCTTGGTATCTCCAATTTTCTTAAAGAGATTTCTAATCTTTCCCATTTTATTGTTTTCCTCTATTTCTTTGCATTGTTCACTTAGGAAGGCTTTCTTATCTCTCCTTGATATTCTCTGGAACTCTGCATTCAATTGGGTACATCTTTCCCTTTCTCCTTTGCCTTTCGCTTCTCTTCTCAGCTATTTGTAAGGCCTCCTCAGACAACTGGTTCCCTGACCAAGGATTAAACCCAGGTCCCCTGCATTGGGAATGCAGAATCTTAACCACTGAACCACCAGAAAAGCCCCTCATTTGCTCATTAAAAACTACAAAACAAAGCTAAGAGAAGCTTACAAAAGCCTGAGAGAGAAAGCATGAGTGAGCAAATTCATTCCACAGAAGACGGAGATGTCATAGCTATACAAGTGGGTTGTTTCAGTGAAATCCCAATCAGCAGCCTTATTTCAAGCTGACAAGCTGATTCTAAAACTCATACAGAGATGCAAAGAACCTAAAAAATACTAAATAATTTTCAAAAAATAGAACAAAATTTGAAGAATTACACTAAATGATTTCAAAGACTTGCTCTAAAACCAAAGTAACCAAGAGTGATATTGGCATATTAGATTAGTAGAACAGAGTAGAGAGTCTAGAAATAAACTCACATGTTAATTCATATGGGAAGAAAATGACTCTCTAGTCTTATCTCACACCATATATAAAACCTAATTCAAAATAACGTATCTACTTCTTTTCCTATCTGGATCCCTTTTATTTCTTTTTCTGCTCTGATTGCTGTGGCCAAAACTTCCAAAACTATGTTGAATAGTAGTGGTGAGAGTGGGCACCCTTGACTTGCTCCTGATTTTAGGGGAAATGCTTTCAGTTTTTCACCATTGAGGATAATGTTTGCTGTGGGTTTGTCATATATAGCGTTAATTATGTTGAGGTATGTTCCTTCTATTCCTGCTTTCTGGAGAGTTTTTATCATAAATGGATGTTGAATTTTGTCAAAGGCTTTTTCTGCATCTATTGAGATAATCATATGGTTTTTATCTTTCAGTTTGTTAATGTGGTGTATTACATTGATTTGTGGATATTAAAGAATCCTTGCATTCCTGGGATAAAGCCCACTTGGTCATGATGTATGATCTTTTTAATACGTTGTTGGATTCTGTTTGCTAGAATTTAGTTAAGGATTTTTGCATCTATGTTCATCAGAAAAACAAACAAACAAACAAACAAAAAATAACATATCTAAACATGAATGCAAAAAAAAAAAAAATCCAGAAGAAAACATAAGAGAAAAACCTTCGTAGTTGGGGGAGACGCACCGGATTTTTACACAGGACATAAAAAGCAAAATGAACTCATCACTCTCACCTTCACAGAGGCTTGTGATTAAATTTTATTTTTTATAGCAGCAAAAGTGAAAGTTGCTCAGTCGTGTCCGACTCTTTGCAACCCTAAACAGTCCATGGAATTCTCCAGGCCATAATACTGGAGTGGATAGCCTTTCCCTTCTCCAGGGGATCTTCACAACACAGGGATGGAGCCCAGGTCTTGGGCATTGCAGGTGGATTCTTTACCAGCTAAGCCACAAAGAAGTTGTTATTTCTTTCACATCTGTGTCATTATAGAAGCAAATCTCAATCCCACCACAGCTCACTAGAGAAGATTTCCAAATGAACTCTATTATTGCTTCTACTGTGGGAAAGTATTGTTTAATAGTCGACTGTAGCCCTTAGGGTGTCCTATTTGAAGTTCCTTACCTAGATACTCACTCCGGCCTCTGTAGAAACAAGAGGAAAACTGAGATACTATTTCTGATCGTGGAAAGTCATTGTCCTCAGTGACAGCATGTTGGCTGAGGACTGTCTGGTCCCATCTTCAGCCCATCTATATGACCATGAACTTAGTCAAATATCAGCCTCACTCCCAATCCTGCATGCCACTCCCACCTCTCTTATGATACTGTAAGTTCCTTGCAACCCACTGAAATACTCAAGTTTTAGTATTTTCTTGCATGCTCTCTTCCTTACCTTCAAATTTCTTCCTTCCCTACTTTCTCACCAGACTTATCTATCATCCTGCCTCAACTGCTGCCACCCCACCCCCACTCTTCAAAATAGTTATCTCCCTTTCCCAGACTCTTGGAGCTCTCGGCACATACCCTTCCTGGCCCTTATCAAATGCAGTGCTGTTATCTATTTAATGTCTCTTTCTACCACTGGACTGTTTAACTCCACAGAACAGAAGCTACCTTAAGTCGTCCTTGCTTATTTTCCCCCGAATTTTCTCTACCTCTTCTAACTCCAACACACACACACACACACACACACACACACAGAGTCTGATGCACAGTACGAGCTCATCAGTGTCTAATAAATGAATAAGTTTTTCCTTCACCAGAGAGAAGCCCAGCAAGTCATAAGAAATAAATTAAAAGCATAAATAACAATCACTAGTTTTAAAATGGTAATTCAATTGAAAGAAACAGGAAAAGCAGTTCATCTTCATCAGAAAGGTCTAATCTTCAGACATCAAGCAAGAAAATCAACCATTGCCACTAGAAAATGAAGAATATTCATCACAACCAGTTTCTCTCCAAAGGACACACACCCAGGGCAAAACAATCTAGTCACAGAGGAACCAGCCAGTACTTAAGAGTTCAAGTCTCTGACGCCAGTGCCAGAGAGTAAGTTACACAATATAAGAGTAACAACAGTTACTATTTGGGGTACTTAATTCACCAAGCTCTGAATTCACTATTATACATATGTTATCTCATTTTAGCTTTATCTCAGCTCTGTGAAGGAGGTATTATAATTTCCATTTTATAGATAAAAAATGCTCTAACTATTCAAGATTCAGCCTTGCCCTGAGTCCAAAGCTTGTGGTCTTAATCTCTTCATCCTGCTGCTCCCCACTTGGCCTCCAAGCTACCTGCTGGTGGAAGCTAGCACGGTTTTGTTCAATCTTGTGTCTCCAGCACCTAGAACAGTGCCTGGCATATATTTGCTAAATGCTATGGTGAAATATGTATGAAATATGTATGGCAGAAAGCGAAGAAGAGCTAAAGAGCCTCTTAATGAAAGTGAAAGAGTAGAGTGAAAAAGCTGGCTTAAAACTCAAAAACATTAAAAAAACTAAGATCATGGCATCCAGTCCCATCATTTCATGGCAAACAGATGGGGAAACAATGGAAACAGTGACAGACTTTATTTTCTTGGGCTCCAAAATCATTGTAGATGATGAGTGAAGCCATGAAATTAAAAGATGCTTGCTCCTAGGAAGAAAAGTTATGACCAACCTAGACAGCATATTAAAAAGCAGAGACCATTACTTTGCCAACAAAGGTGCGTCTAGTCAAAGCTATAGTTTTTTCAGTAGTCACAGATGGATGTGAGAGTTGGACTATAAGGAAAGCTGAATGCCAAAGAATTAATGCTTTTTTTTCTTTTTTTTTTGCCACAGAGCACAGAAAACTTTATTCATCCACACTGCTCGGGAGAAGGGTAGGCTCACTTCAATATGGTATCCTCTTGGGCCTCCGCCAGCTCATGCTCGATGTGCTTCTGCTCATCCGGCTTCTTCTTCTCCTCGGCTGCGAGCCTACTCTCCTCTTCTGCCCGGGGTTTCAGGTAATTGTAGCGCTTGTAGGCCATGCTGAGGAACAGGGCGGAGTAACGGCCGAGCTTGATGAGCAGAGAGACCTGCACCGGCGGAACCATCTTGTCCGTGACTCTCGCAGAACTGATGCTTTTGAACTGTGGTATTGGAGAAAACTCTTGAGAGTCCCTTGGACTGCATGATCAAACCAGTCCAACCTAAAAGAAATCAGTCCTGAATATTCATTGGAAGGACTGATGCTGAAGCTGAAACTCCAATACTTTGGCCACCTAATGCAAAGAACTGACTCATTGGAAAAGACCCTGACGCTGGGAAAGATTGAAGGCAGGAGGAGAAGGGGACAACAGAAGATGAGATGGTTGGATGGCATCACCGACTCGATGGACATGAGTTTGAGTAAGCTCTGGGAGTTGGTGATGGACAGGGAGGCCTGGTGTGCTGCAGTCCATAGGGTCGGAAAGAGTCAGACATGACTGAGGGACTGAACTGAACTGAACAGTGAAATATGGGCTTCCCAGGTGGCACAAGTGGTAAAGAACCTGCCTGCCAATGCAGGAGACATAAGAGATGCAGGTTCGATCCCTGGGCTGGGAAGATCCCTGAAGGAGGGCATGGAAACCCACTCCAGTGTTCTTTTCTGGAGAATCCCATGGACAGAGGAGCCTGGCGGGCTACAGTCCATGGGGGTCACACAGAGTCAGATATGACTTAAGCAACTTAGCACACATGCACAGTGAAATATAATCTTCTTGGTAAACATAGGCCTCTCTCCTAGTCCCTGGACATTTTTATTATACCCACTAACCAAGGACTGAATGTCTGTTCCATCCCAGTCCAAGACTCAAGGCCCCATTGAACACCCAGGCCTAGGGGATGTGCATTAAATGGCCATCTTCCAGGTCTGATGAGAGGGAATTCCAGCACTTTTCTGCACAGCCTTTATGGCAATGGAGCAAAGCATTACAGCTGATCCTTACATAATGTTGATCCTTACAGACTTTTATCCAGGGCAAACTCAAGCCCCAGAAAGGACTGAAAGTGGGAGGGGAATTAATGAAAATCTTCCTCTACTCTGCTCTGGTTTGTGTAGTTGCTGCCTCAAGGACTCAGCTTGTTTTTTTCCCACATGGACTCTCTGGGTCTTAGGGATATCTCCTAATGCATATGGATTTATTTATTTATGTTGCCCAATGAATTACACATACACTGTGAAAAAAATATATTATTCTTAAGTGCAGAAAGACTAAAGACTAAAGTAAAGTGCTTTACATTTTTTTTTTTCCTTTTGCTTTTCCTTTCTGCTTCTCTCTGCTTAGTCCTCACACAGATCCTGGTAACACAGGAGTAAATAATTACTGACTCCAACCAGAAATTTTTGAATGTTTGTCAGAACCTTTGGGCACTAAACTGAAACAATGACCTTAGATAATAAAGCTGCCAATGTTTCCACATTGTCTATGAAACTTTGAGGATAGGAATACCTTACATAAGATACAGAATAAACAGCAGAGTGATTTATATGGTATTTGGACTACAGAAAAAGAGAAAAAGGTACAATTTGTGATTCATAGGAGGCAGAAAGTAAAAAGCAAGCTTTTTTCTCACCCTGTCAGTCCCTAAGCCAGAGTCGCTGATTCTAGGCAACATCAGAAAAATGCTTACTCCAGAGTCCAACAGTTTGTTGACAGTGCAGTTCATAACCAGGAGCTTGCCCCCAGGAACCATTTTCTCCAAAAATATAGTTCTTTTCTCTCCTATTTGGAAATATAAGTAAAAGCAGTGATAGGCCTGAGCTGTACCTAGCCCTCCTTGATAAAAAATATAACATGTTGTGAATATTCCAGCACTTAGCACAATGTCTGGTAGAAAACTGGTGCTCAATATCTGTGTGGTTCAAGGAAAAAATTTTCGTGTCTAACTCAGTGACCCTGCAGAACTCTTTAATTCTAATTTTATACTCTTAACAGCATCCAGAATTATTAAATCAGATTATGTTCTATCAGAGGCTTCTTGCTACGGAGAAGAAACGTGGCGCTTGAGACACATTTCACAGAGCCGTTTTGATAGTTGACAGAGAAGCTTTTATTGCAGAACAGCGCTGCCTGCTTCTACCACAACATTCTCCTCACTCTGTAATCAGTGCCTCTGCCATCTTGTTGACATGGGAGGGGAGCCGAGTGAAACAGATGGCTGGAAGTTAACCCCTCAAGCCACAGAGTGTTACAGAGAACCAGTGTTGAAAAGAGAGTGCAGGCAGGGACTTCTCTGGCAGTCCACTAGTTAGGACTTGGTGCTTCCATTGCATGGGGCATGGGTTCAATCCCTGGTTGGGGAACTAAGATCCCACAAGCTGCGTGGAGCAGCCAAAAATAAAATGATTAAAAATGCAAAATAGATAGCAAGTGGGAATTTACTGTGTGACACTGGGAGTTCAACACAGTGCTCTGTGACAACCTAGAGGGGTGGGATGGGGTGGGAGAGGGGTTCAGAAGGGAAGGGACACATGTATACCTGTGGCTGATTCATGTTGATGTATGGCAGAGGCCAGCACAATAATGTAAAGCACTTATCCTCCAATTAAAAAAAATAGAAAAAAAAAAAAAGAGTGCGCAGGCAGAACTCAGGTCTGCACTCAGAGTGTGAGCTCCCTGAGAGCAGGGAGCCTTAATGCTTCAGTGGCTAGCATGGTTCCTGAGAGAGACCTGCTGCTGCTGCTGCTGCTGAGTCACTTCAGTCGTGTCCGACTCTGTGCGACCCCATAGACGGCAGCCCACCAGGCTCCCTTGTCCCTGGGATTCTCCAGGCAAGAATATTGGAGTGGGTTGCCATTGCCTTCTCCAATGCATGCAAGTGAAAAGTGAAAGTGAAGTCGCTCGGTCATATCCGACTCTTCACGACCCCATGGACTGCAGCCTACCAGGCTCCTCCATCCATGGGATTTTTCCAGGCAAGAATACTGGAGTGGGGTGCCACTGCCTTCTCCGTGAGAGAGAACAGGACTCAGTAAATAGTAATGAGACACCCCCCAGTTCTAGAGTTCTGGATGGGAGGTTGAGGAATAGGGGCAAGAAATCACCCATCTCGTTTGTTCTTTTTTTTTTTAATTGTTTTGTTCTTTTTAGCCAGATTAATCTGTCAAACTAGATTAACCAGCCTTCCCAGTATCTGGGTTACAGAGCCCCAAGTACAGAGATGTCACAGAACACGGTGGGGCAGGGCCACACCTGGAAACAGAACTTCACTGCCAGGCTGGCCGTCTCTTCTTGCTTTTGCAGAGGGACTAAAAATGAACGTGGGCTGCTGAGAGGCTCGCCTACCAGGTCTGGCACTCGGCCGACTGTCTGGCCCACACTGCACAGGCCATCAAATTCCACAGGCCCTTAGAGATGTTTATTTTTGCACTTTGTAGACTCTGCTCGCCGCTGGAGCCATGGCAGGTCACACAAAGGACAAGGTGTTGCCAAGCTGAGAGTGTGGGGTGCTCCCTAGTGCAGGACCCAGAATCTGAATTTCTTCCTGGAAATGAACAAGTGAGCACAGTTTTTACAAAAGTTCCTTCAAGATGTAGGTGACTGTCTTTGTCTCTGTCATGATTAAAATACTTAGGACTGAACCCATTCCTCTCACTTCCTTCTGGCTTTGGACCCACGGAAAAGTCTGATTAAAAAAAAAGGTTGGAAGTAATCCCCAACTTTTTTGTGTGTGAGGTCCCTGTATACATCACAAGGTACTTCCTTAGCCAAGTAAGGCAATAGTTGTATTTTTAGAATAAGTTATCTGTTGATTCATAAAATATGTAAAGGCAGCAGTCAAAATGAATTTCAAGGCATTTTCAAATACATTTTATTTGATGACTCACTAAGACACTTACAAATGTGAAAAATCGTGGTAACTGTAAGACATTCTTCTGTCCATTGACAGGATGCTGTCATGTACGCATGGATTTGCATACCTTGTACTAATTCTGTTGTTTTCTCCTGAGTCCGAGGACCACCCGCCCCCCACCAAGATTAGAAGCCTCTCTCTGTTTATTAAGGGTAAGCCTAGTGCCTTGAAAAACATCAATTCCTTCTGGTTTACTAGATATATTATTTATTCAAGGTCCCAGTAGGAACTGAAAAACTGGGGAGATTCAACAAAAGTACTATTTATAAAGGTGTGGGCAAGTGTTCATAAGATCTATCAAAGGTCAGAAGGGTCCTCAGGGACTGGTACCATTACCACCTCTAGGCCAGAGAGGCAAAGGAAAAGAGAAGTTACTGGAACCTTCTGTAGAGTCACTGGGTAAAGGAAAGCAGCCAGTTCATAAGGATCTGACAGTAAAAAAAAAAAAAAATCAAGGAAATAAATACACCAACCTCACACTCCACCTGACTTCCAAGTCCCAACAGTGGCTGAACCCAACAGGAATCCAACTGATGTAGCCCCTACATGTCAGCCTCCCAGGGCAGAGAACTGAGTGGAAATGGATGGTCAGTGAACTTGGAGGTGCACATAGAAACTGTCCTGCACACCAGGGTAACCTAAAAACTTGCTCAGGGCTATGGTTAAAAATGAGGTCAAGTCCTGAGCCAATCAATGCTGGGCCTTGCCTTAAAATTATATTAAGCTATTCCAGGTTACTGACTCAAACCTTCTGGTGTATTTCAAATATGTAACTCAATTGCACAACCAAACTCCCCTGCAGCTCATATTGAAACGCTCCCTTAGGTTCAGCCCACAATCACCTTTACAAGGGCAACTCCAAAATCTGCATCTCTGCCGCCAATCTTCCTGCCGAGTTACAGATTCAAATTTCCAACAGCCTACAGGGCACCTCAGACTCTCTAAGGTATGTCTATAAGCCATGTCTGTAAAGCACTGGCTAGTCTCTCCTGGAAACACATTTTATTTTTATGCTGTTACCATTTACCAACTAGGTGTGTTAGAACACTCTGAGGCTTTTGACTCCTCCCCATCTCTCAGAACGAGTGAGTGAAACTCATACCACTTCTGCTGGTAGCCTGCTCAGATCTGCCCTCCCTCTTAATTTCCCATGACCTTTACCTGAACAAAGTAAGAGCCTGTCTTGGCTGGCCTGACTAATCCTAACTCCACCACTTAGAATTAAGACTTCCCTGCACTTATTAATTATGACTCTTATTTTATGCTTCAAGGCCTCAGTTCCCTTTATCTGCAGGGTGGAGCCAGGCATAGTCCCCTACCACTGGGGACAAAGACCTCCTCTCCATTGATTCCAAGGGGCAGAAACTCCAGCACAACTAGCCTCTCCAGCCTTCCTCTACCTTCTCACCTACCTTTCTCCCCAGGAGGAGTTGGTTATCTGATTCATGGGGGTGGGAGAAACAGAGGTACATGCTTAGCTTTTTGTTTTCTTTTTCAAAGTGGGATCGGCCTGAGAGCGGAGAGTGCTCATTCTTCTCAGCTCTTTCACTCTATACATGAACCCAGGGCAGACGCCCATCAAATGAGGCTTATGGCTATTTGAGGGCTGCCTGGGTCGGTGACAGGGTAGCGCCATCTTTTATGTGGCTAGAGTGGTGCAGTCCTTCTTGGCTAGTAGTCCTGAGCCTCTCTCCCCAATTATCAGTGTTATTAGCACACAAGGCAGCATTTTAGGAAAGAATAGTAAACATTTATTTGAATACATACTACAGGCAGATCCTACGCTTTGTGATATAATATGGATTGCCTCATTTCATTTTCTCAACAACTCTGTGAGGTAGGAATTGGGATCGAAAAGATCAATAAACCACTTGGTCTCCTCACAAGTTCAAAACCAATTTAGAGGTAGACACAAGAACCCGTCAATACTCTGGCTACCTGATGCAAAGAGCTGACTCATTGGAAAAGACCCTGATGCAGGGAAAGATTGAGGGCAGGAAAAGAAGCAAGTGACAGAGGATGAGATGGTTGGATGGCATCACCGATTCAATGGACATGAGTTTGAGCAAATTCTGGGAGATAGTGAAGAACAGGGAAGTCTGGCGTGCTGCAGTCCAAGGGGTCACAAAGAATCAGACAGGACTGAGTGACTGAACCACAACCTTCTTATTATCACGATTGTTGATGTAACAGACCGCCTCCATGAGTTTTAGGAAAGGGATAGGAATTTAAAATTTCAATATTCTTTGATTATCCTAATATTTCATATCAAGATAGTGCGGAGAATAGCAGTGACATCAAGTAGAAATTTATAAACTGCAAAAGAAAATCTATCACCGTTCCCTCTCCAAAGACTTCACTGAGAGGCATTCACAAGGATCCTGAGGCTGGGTATGAAAGCTGTTTTGAATGCACATTTCTCCGTGGAGGCTTACAAGAGTCCCTTAGGCCATGGTGCAGCTGTAAATAGTAACACAACACAGCTCAGAAAAAAAATAGTCTTAAAAAAAAAACCAAAAAAACCCATATTCCTCTGACAGGATACCCCTCTCTAAAGAGTTCCAGAGGTTTCCCCCTCCCTCAGCTATACCACTGATCTTTGAGGCCTTTTAGACTGCTACAAATATGAATGCTGAGGCACGCAGACCAGTGCACTTGGCCTGGGGTCAGACATGTCTGGCTTTGAATCCCAGTGCTGACAATTAATAGCTGTATAAACTTGACATTTGATTTAACTTCCTGAGTCTGTCTCCTGCTCTGTACCTTGGAGTTAATAGCTCCTCTTTATTAGGGCTTTAATGAGGATTAAAGGGCAAAATATTTGTTAAAGTGCCTGACAACCATTAAAATATTCACATAATAACATATATTAATCCTCTTCCCTATTATACCAGCTGATACATTTTTCATCTTCATTTGTACCTTTCAATAATTTCCCTAATTAAAAAGTGAAGCAAAAAAAAAAAAGCAAAGCAATTATACAACTATATAGTAGACACTCAAAAAATGCTTACCTAAGTTAAACTTATACCAGTTACGATTTCAGATGACAGAGTTAGCGAAGTATTAATAAATAAACACTTTTATCATGGGCTTCCCGAGTGGCTCAGCAGTGAAGAACCCACCTGCAATGGAGGAGACTTCAATCCCTGGATCAGGAAGATTCCCTGGAAAAAGAAATGGCAACCCACTCTAGTATTCTTATCTGGGAAGCCCAATGGATGGAGGAGCCCCATCTTGCAAAAGAGGCAGACAAGACTTAGCATCTAAATAACAATGACAATCTTTATCATAGCTGAAAGCACCCATATTTCTTGTCATTTAGCCAAAGGAAAAAAGTCAGGGAGAGACCCAGAGATTTTATCTATGTCAATTTTCCCTTACATTATTGAGACAAGACAAAGAAGTTAAATAATTGAATGAGGGATAGTGGTAAAGAGAAAATGATGGAAAACAGTAAATTCAAGAAATACTATGCTCTTTGAACATTTAAACTAATTTTCACTTCTCTGCAATATTTAGTTGGTTCTTTCTTTAGAATTGCGCACTGAAATTCTTTGCAGGCAAATATCTATATATCAAATAACAAATATGTCCATGTTCTCTTCCCTTTTTAATGACTTTTCCTAAGTAGTACACAGATAGCATGTCCCATCCATGGATTATTATAAAGCCTTTACAAAGGACGGTTATGAGGATTGCAGCAGCACCTAAAAATGCCCGTGTTGGGCTAACTCTTAACCAGAACATGAAATGTACAAGCTATGAGTACAACTACAAAAATGCATATGCACAAGGACAAGAGAAAGGAATGCAGAGAAAAAGAAAATAGCTGTGTGGGGAAAGTAAGATTATGAATGATCCCTGCCTGTATTTTCTGAACTTCTTGGAATATTCTTATACCCTTCTTATAAAAAGTAATAAAACCACTTTTACACACTGTAACTAAGTATATTCTTACTGCTTTTTTTTTTGCATTCAACATCGATTCATATATTCTTTTTCACATTTTGACAGATTTTACATTTGACATTTCATATCTTTATCCTGGTTGTGTTTGCCCTCATCATTTAAACTTGTCATGATCTTATCCTCTGGAACACTTAAAAGAGCTTTATTTGGGGACCAAGTACATACACGTGCATTAAAAGTTACTTCACTTCTTTTCTTCCCAACAGACCAAAAACAAGACATCTATCTGTGGAAAGAGAAAATTTATGATCATATTTTAAGGCTGTCTAAAGGAAATAATTCAGTTG